AAAAATTATATTAACTAGTAAATGTTGTTTGGAGTACATTTATCTTATTGACTTCCGAGAATATGTAAAATATTAGGTTGTCCCAAAAGTTTCTTCCATTTCCTTAAGTAGTAGTACATACATAACATTTTATGTCTAATGTTACATTATTGAATTGCGTACAATTCATTTTGCTCCATTACAGTTACGACGTTAACGTTTAAAAAATTAGGTTGTATAATTGTATAAACGCTGCCGCACAAAATAACTGAATGCAAGTCACGGAAGAAACTTTTGGGACAACCTAATATCATTGATCATAAAAAAAGAAGTTAAGAAACTACAAATTCACGCAAAAGTTTTTTTGGGAAATTGATCGGTATACGAATACATATTCTACACCCACTGTATACCACAAAAACTTGTAACTTTCGACCACGCACACTGCGTAATGAGTGCGTAAATGAAAAAAACGATATCGGGTCATTATTCTTTACATATTTGACTACCTTGACAGAGAATATGTAGAATGTCATTGTTTATAAAGGAGAAGTTAATAAATTAGAATTTTACATAATTTTTTGAGGGAAATTGATCGATGTACAAATACGTTCTACACCCACTGTACAGTTGCAGCGCAATAGAGAAATTCGGATAAAACTGGCAGCCCCAATTTCGACAAGAAATCTCAGCCCTAGTCGGCAGAAGGTGTATCGGTCTCTGAAGAGAATTGGTGTACGTGCACCGTCGCGATCTCGTGGTCAAGGACGTTGGTGACAGGGTCCGCGTAGGGTGCGGGTCGAGGGGTCCCGGCGATGGGAGTAGGTATATATGGACGTCCTCGCGCGTTCGGAATACCAGATTCGTGCAAGTTGGCCCTCCCCGCGAGGCGGGTGGTGCGTGCTTTTTACAAATTCATCGCGGACGTCCCGCTCTAAGGAGGAGGAGTGTCCGGAGGGGGCCGATCGCGGCTTCTCAATCATCATCGGTTTAGTGCAGTAGAATCGGGTGCCGTTGACGCTTCGTAGGCACGAGCCTCTCCTTCGCGGCCACGACAACCCGGACACGCACTTTTCAACGCTCGTGCACATTTTTTTTTCACGTTTGGGGCCCAAGGTTTGTCCAGTTACCATTTTTACCATTTCCGAGATAAACCGAACGCTGCTGATTAAACAACAGTTTTGTTATCGTGTTCGATGTAATTCAGCTGGAAGTGTCGAAGTATAATTCGTTGGATTTTGCGATGCATCGATCGTAGTGACCCAAGCCCTATGCACAGTGTACGATGTATAAAATACTTGACAAATTGTCAGGATATTTTCTTATTATCAGTTTCATTTGTGTTCATATATGTAGAAATATTGGATTTTATTGGTCCGTCTTTGTCGTTAACGAAATACTTTCGTAAAAAGAAACTGAATCCTTTCGCTACTTTTACACTTTTCTTTAAATAAAATACTTGGAAGAATTGTCAGGATACTTTCTTATTACCAGTTTCATTTTTGTTCATATAAACAGAGACTTTTACACGTTTCTTTAAAATATTTTTAATTTTGCGCTGTTCCTTGCACATTAAATGGGAATAGATTCCTGATTTAGGTTATACAGTGTGTCCCAAAAATGTTGTGACATCTTGAAAGAGGTGGTTCGAGAGGTGATTTGAAACAACCTTTTGCCTCAGCGAAAATGTTGTACGAGGCTTCGTTAAGAAGATATTAACAGAAAACCCCGACCAATCAGAGCGCGCGTATACCGTTGAAACGGCCGTGGTAGTGAAAACTACGCGCTAGGCGGCCGCGCTCATTCGCTACCGCGCGCGCTCCAACGGTATACGCGCGCTCTGATTGGTCGGGGTTTTCTGTTAATATCGTCTTAACGAAGCCTCGTACAACATTTTCGCTAAGGCAAAAGTTGTTTCAAATCACCTCCCGAACCACCTCTTTTAATGTGTTACAACATTTTTGGGACACCCTGTATATACGTTTTGGTAACATTTCTCATCTGGAATACAGCAGTGATGGGGAAACCCCTAGGCTTTGAATAAATCTGAAGTTTCCTGACATGTTTGTCTCGTTTCCTCTTTTGAATATTTTCCAAACTTCAGGTTTATTCGAAGCCTAGTGTTTTGCCTATCTCTGGAATACAGTTCCAATTTTTCGAACAATTCTATCATTGCTATCACACCGTATCTCTTAACATCCAAGTTTTATTTTCACAAGTAATATACATTGATGCATTAATTACACGAAAAATCACGTTAAAAATTAAATAAACACAAAAGGGAAAAAAATGCTACAGTCGCGTAAAATAAGGCCAGTCCCCGAGATAAAGT